TGGCATTGCAACTTGTCATTAAAGGATGCTGAGGATACAACCACCACGTGTCCCTGTCAAAGTGACAGCTCAGGACAGCCTGCAGGCCAAGAGCAGCTCCTCAGGGGCAGCTGATAAATCATGGGAATGTAACTCTTCACATCTGGTCACCCAGAATGGCTGAGGCCATTCCTGCTGTGGCTGTGGCACTGCAGACATGCTGACAACACAGCAGCCTTTGCAAGCAGCTCTGTAATTCCATCAGCATGTCAGAGAGGACGTGGGAATAAGGTATTCAACTGATGTGTATCAACACAAGCACTGCTGTCTTTAACAGCAAGGCAGATGACGTCCCAAGTAAACTTCAGCATCAAATCCCTGAACACACAGTCACAGCTGGGGCTGGCAATAAAAGCTGTAAAGCATTCACGACAGCGAGGGGATCTGCAGCTGCACACGGGGCTGCTGGCCTGGGGAGCACCAGGGACTCATTCCTGCAGCTCCCTTGAAAGGAAGTGACAGGCAACAGGCAAGCAAACATTTCCCATTTTATCCCTACAGTAAAAAGAGCCTCTCCCAATTAAATTTTCTCATTTCAGCCATTAGCAGTTAAATCCCAGACTATATGCCACTGTAGATGTGCTGGGGCAAAGGTGAGAACATGAAATGCATTTCCAGTTTATTGCCATTGCAATTTCTACTCTTGACAGTTTTACAGCCACAAATAGAAACACTGCGTGCAAACTCAAGAGCTATGAGCTCATACAACCCACACCAGAGAACTGCAACTGGAAGGTTGCTTTGCCTGCAAAAAGATGGTATTCTTTAATATAATCTCTCCAGGAAAAATATAGGCAGGCAAACAGAAGGAAGCACACTCAAAGAGCCACTGCAAACACAACACAATAATTAATGACTTCCTATTCAGGAATTTATTTTCTCTTCAAGAAGCACAATCAATAGGATCTGTCTCCCTGGTACAGAGGGCTCTAGAAAAGTAGATCAATTAAATGCAGCATGGACAGAAATGCTTGTGATGTGTTTTTAAGGCTGTGTTTGATCAATAAGCATCTCAAGAGCTCAGAGGAGCCTCCACAGCTCTGGCAGAGCCGAACACTCTCACCAAGAACACATTAACTAACACCTTGCAGACTCTGCTCTTCTGAGTAATGCTCAGGGCAACAACTGCCATTTCTGTTCTCATTAAAGAACAAAACCCTACCTGAGCTGCTTGGTCCTGCCTAAGGAACAATCCCAAGCTCTGCACGTAGCACAGCACATGTGGACCACCTTAAATGCACGAAACACACAAGTACACTTTTTGACAAGGTTATGAGATCAAGATTGCTTTCAGTAGCAAACTGCATTGAGGGAGGGATAATATTCTGCCATTTTGAAAATCATTAAGTAGTACTTCAGTAACAAGATCTTCCTTTTTAACAGGCCTATTTGCAAACTGACACATTTAATTAGTAAAGTTCTGCTGCTGTTCAAATGGTGTTTCAGCAGCTTCCTGAGAAATGCACCTGTCAGTCTCAGAAATAGGGCCCTAGTGACAAGAGATGGATATTACTGAGTCTTTAGAGACTTTTTTTTTAAAGATCTTTTCAGAAACAAAGGTTAATTTTGTATCAAAGAGGAAAACCCAATAAAGCTGATAACTTTGCCCTCACCCCTGATGGCAACAAGCATTCATGAAGAAGCTGCAGTGAACCCCCTATGGGGATTCACCTGAGGGAGTAGGTATAATGTCAGTGTAGACTAACACAAAAATCTCATTTCCACTTTGATTTGCAGCATTTCCCAGGTGATGATCTCAAACATTTTTGATGCTAATTGAACAAGACAGGTCCAAGCCTATTGCCCATGCAGTGAAGTTGCTTGTTCTAATTAAAAAAAACAAAGGCAGATGCTTTCCTTGTACATTAATTTCTGAAACAGTACCAGCTTCACCTCTCAAAGATGAAACCAGAAAGGGGCTGGGTATGCTTCCATGGCTTCCCAGGCACAGCTGTGAGCACACTCACCTCTGCATGCAATACTCCAACACAAGTCTTATCTAACCCTTACACCTGACCAGGAAATAAAGGCAGGAATACCATTTATTTTATACATATTTCTATCCATATTTCTCCCCTCCTAAGGCTTTTTCTGGCCACATTAGCAAGTGGACTGAAGCAGCTGATTTTCCACTTCTTGAGAAAAAAAAAAAAAAACAAAAAAAACCACAGCAGTTTGGTTTTTAATTTGTTCTCCAAACTGCAAATCTCAAATTTCATGTTTGTCTTCTACCTGCTTTCTCCTTCCAGTTCAATTCAATAACATTATGTATTAAACACAATGGTCTCAAAGATCAAGGTATTTCTAATACATCTCAAGATGTTAATGCTAATTAAAGCTGATCAAAAGATTTTGTCTGAGATACAGCAAAACCAGACTGAACTGTGACAAGATGCTACTTTATCATTTCATTCTGTTTAGATCACAAGGGCCACACGTATGGCATTATTCAGTCACTAAGCATTGGCTCATTGCTGGAATTTTTTGCATCTTGAAATTAGAATCAAACACTCTACAAAAGTAATTAAAAGGGACAAAACCTCATGTCTTCAATTAAGCAAAAGTAGGTTTTAAAGTGAGATTGGAAATACAGGTTAAACAAACACTCCAGGGATAACACAGTTCATATTTATTTTAACTTGCAGCAGCAATTATCAACCAGATTCTTTGCAAGTCCTTCTCAGTCTATAGACTATGACTAAAATTGTCAGATAGTTCATTTTCAAAAAGCTGTGCAGAAGTAGCAAGTCTTACCATGCATGGGGAAGCTGCTTGTTGTATCCCCAAGGATGAGAATGAAAAAAAAAAAAAAAAAACCAAAGATAAAAGTACAGGAATAGTTTTGGAAAGAGATAAAGATGAAAAGAAACAAATTAACTGTAATAAGGTGAACAGAACACACACAATGAAGAGGAAAATAGAAATTATATGTTTGTTTGGAAGCAGAAGCAGTTTGAGGAAGAAGAGATGAGTCATCCTCAAAAGAGCCAGAGAAACAGAGACTCCATGGGACCAGATGTACTAATTATCATGGAATCCAGTGAATGAGGGAGGGAGAAGTTAAATATGTCTCAACCAGACTTCATCAAGTCTAGCTAAAGATGAAAGGGCAAATTTTACAGGGAAGAGAGAAAGAATTTGGTCAACAAAATCATAAGGGGGAGAGCAAGAAAATATGGTTCTGTATGCTGATGAACAGAAAGTTTGGCAGAAAAAAAAAAATGAAAAATTGGTTTTGAAGAATCTGAGTCTGAAATTTTGAGTCTGAAAGCAGCTGACACCCTGCTGTTCAGTCCTTCTGCAGGTGCCACCAGACAAGGAGAACAGCATGGAGGTAGCAGTTACTTGTACTGACCCAGAAGTCATCTGCTACAGAAATACCAGTCAAGGGAAGCAAGGCAGACACCTGGGGGTGTCCATACACAGAAATCACTTAGAAGAGGAAAGAAACTTCAGCAGGGGAAAAGGAATTTGTCAAAAATAAATAGTTGATGCTGTCAAAAGGAGCAAAGCTTTTAATGAGGACCATCATCTGGCCACCACCAGCAGGAGCAGCCAGCCTGAGTTTTACGAACATCCTGAACCACCCTGCAGTCAGGTTGGCCCCCCCCGTTTTCACACTTAAGTGTCTGATGAGTGGCCTGATTTCCAAGCTAACAGCAGTTTTTCAGGGCTTTCAGTAGCACAAATGGCTGGTGAAAAGTACAAGCAGTATACATCCCCTAAATAAACTGTCCATCCAACAGAAAAAGTCCTACAAATGGCTGAAATCAGGACATCTTCAAAAATTCCCAGCAGGAATGGTAGGATCCAGCTATCTTTAATGCACAATTCAGCTGTCACCCAGGAAATGGAACTGGCACAGGCTCAGTCAGAGCAGGAGCTGCAGTTTGGAAGCCCCTGGGCAAGGCTGATGTCCCACAGTGTTACACATCTGTCCTGGGATGGACAAACCAGGCCTGGGAAGTGCCAGCTGAGAATGCATGGAGAAATGAGGGCAGAGAGAGCACCAACAGCAGCAAGGAGACAGAAGAGAAGGAAACAGCTGGAAGGGCAACTTTTTAAAGAAGGAAATCTTCACTCTAAGGAAAGATTTTGGGATTTCAAGGTGTTTTGCTTAAGTAAGACATTACACTCCCATACAGGTTTGGCAGAAGTGGAGTAAAAATTAAAAGGATAAGCAGTTCCCCAAAAAGGATCAAAAGTAACAGGGTGTTTTAGTACAAGAAGAAATGTGTCCTGTGTTCACCATAAATAACAGCAGGAGAGAGCTTCCTTGAAACAGCCTCTAGAGTACATATACTTAAACCCACTAAAGTAATATCTCACTTCAAAACAAAACCTAAAAAGCCCATATTGAGAAATTACTACTATTACTGTATTATTAACAAATATAATCATGTTGCTATCAAGCCTAAATGTTTAGAGCTAGCAGATTCCTGTCACCCAGATGAATAACTATCACTGAGCAATGAGTCACTCTCCTACCTTTGGAGGATTAAGAATAGAAATTTGTCTTTGTCCAACCAGGCAGATTGGGCTACTTCAGAGAGAAAAGGATGGATGGCACTCAAGTCTAAATCTCAGCTCTTTAGAAAGGACAATAATATTTACCAGAATATTTACCAAGATTGTCAGAAGCAGGATTAGGCAGCACTGCAAAGATAACAAGAGACTGTACTGTCTTCAAGTTTAAGAAACATTAATTCTGCCCTTTGAAAGTACTTCTCATAGGACACTGAAGCCACCATGTAATTTTAAAACAACCATGGAAATCACAGTCAATCATTTTCCTTTTTGATAACTGTAGAGTACAGTTGGGGAAAAAAAAATAAAAAAGCACCATGTACTACACAGCAGCCTGATGTCAGTCTGTTCAATGTCACAGTGAGTACAGATCAATAGCTCTCTGCTTCTGAAAAGTTTACAGCATTCTTTAAAAGCCATGGGAAAAAACTCACCCAGTTTTCAAGCTGACCAAGGCATCTTCGACTCCTTTCTGGTTGAACTTGGTCATGTAAAGGTGCATATCAGGGTAGTTGTTTCGGATATTCCTCTCAGTGCTTCCATTTGGGACCGTCCCAAACCGAAAAGGAGGTGAATAATCATGTGGCCTTTGAAACTAGAGATAAAGGGGATAAGCAAAGAGTTTCAGCCATCCAAAATATGAAGAAGGGCAATTTCAGGTTGAAAAGGACAGAAGCTGTGTAAGTTTCCTCAAATTTCTTCTAGGCAAATGCTGTGGGTCAATTCAGGTCTATTGTACCAGAAACTGTCTGTAACTGAAAGTAATCTACATCCAGAGTAAAACCAGCTCCATTTTGCCACTCAAATGTGACTCTCCCCCATGCTTTGCACTACAGCAGGACAGCAGAAACTGGAGCAGATCCTCACCTGCCAGCATCTCTCTAGGGAACCCAAACACACTGGTAAACTGCAACCAAAGGAAAAGAGTATTTTTTTTAATAGTCATTTTCACACTTCCATCTCAGTTGGGACATTGTGATTCCCCATCAGGAAGATGGGAAAAGGATCATCCACAGTCCTCGAGAGGGAGCCCAATGCCCCAGTCCTGGAGGGTGCCAGGGAGAGGCAAGGTGAGGGAGTTTCCTTCCACCCATGACTGGAGGGGAATAAAAGCTCTTTCAGCCCCACAGGGGCTCAGCAACAACACAGCTTGATATGAGAAGGGCTTCTGGAGCTCTCACACCTATAATCCTAGTCCCTGCCCATCCCTACCATTTAAAACTATGAACCATTTGCTTGAGGGCAACTTTATCACTATTGCATCAGCACAGATGAACCAGCCAGGGGTTGGTCCATCTGCAAAGGAATGGCAATAGTTCAGGGCACATTCAGGTTTCACACTTGGCACTCCTTCAAATAATCCCACATAAATTTTTTGCTAAAAATTATATATGCACCTCTTCAACATCTACCTTTAAAATCCAAGTGAAATTTTTAGGATTAAAATGTCTCTTTAAGAAACAAATGAGAAAGGTCATTCAGATTAAAAAAACTATTGGCTAATGAGGAAATTGAATTGAGCATTGATAAAAGCAGCCACCCGTAAATTCTGCAGTAAAATGCACTCTGTTTTTATTGTTGAACTTAGAAGAGCAATCTATATATCCTGTGCTGCAAGAGATGCCTAATATTTATACAGCTGCTGATTCCTTTGGGGCTCCATATGAAATTTTTCTCTTTTTAACATTTGGTCTCAGGGCATCAAGAATTCCCAAGATCCAGTGCCAATTTGCAAAGAGAATGCAAATGGGTTTATACAAAAACTGGGAGTATTTTCAATTCCATCAAACCTTGACTGTGAAATTATTGCTGCAACATAATTTTCTTGTTTCAGAACTACAATTAAATGCTTCATTTTAATTAAGTATATTTTGACAGAGCATAAAGGAATGAACTCTATTTTTCTCTATTTGTTTAGCAAATAGATGTCTTACTTTCCTCATTTTCCCTTTTCAGACTGTTTAAATTATAACTTTGCTACTACTTTTACACATAGTAATTGACCCATGTACCAAAATTACACTGTACACTACTCATGACTCTTAGTCTGTATTTGCTATCTCCCTGAGTTTATTATGCAGCACTGAAACAAACCCTGCTTTTAAATATATGTCCAGAGATTGTACTGATATAAATGTAGCTTACTATCAACTTTATTTAAATCTAGAGATAATGTATCTCTGATGTATTGAGATGGCTTCATGTGTCTCCTAAATTTGCCATTCAATAGAACTGGAAAAAAATAAAGAAACACTGTCAGTTTCATGATCTGTAAGATTTGCTTCTCCTTCTATTGCTGGAATTCCTTGGGAATTCAGCTGTGGTGAGCATTCTGCAAGCTCAGTTCCCTGCATGCCAGGGGAACTGGGGGAATGCCAGGGGAATTGGGGGAACATGGAGTATTCTGGTAATTTCAAAATAGAGTTTGGTTTTAAACAGTCTCACTTTTCAAGAACATTCATATGAATCTAGGATGTTGGGAGGCATTTCCTCTCATAGGAATAGTTGAAAGAATTAACACATCTGCTCAAATTGAACATTCATGGAAGACAAAAATATTTCAGCAGAAGGATGAATAAAAAGTCCAAGTTCATTCAAAAGTCACAGAGTTAAAATGCAGATTAATAGTTTCAAACCCCATCTACAGATTGAAATTTCTTGGCACCAACCAACAAATTTTACCACTCACAAGGAGATTATTTTTTGAAACCATGATCTGCTACTACTGCCTGCTCACAGACTACTTGTAAAGAAGAGGTTTAAATCTTTTTGCTAATACTGTGCTCATATCTGAGGTGAATAAAGGCATCAATAATATTAAACTTTTATTCCATGAACTGCCATGTCCTGGAGAAGCACACAGGACTGTCACTGTCTGTGACTGCAGCCCAGATCTATGTGGCAGACAAGAGACAAGGGGAAAAAAAAAGATCAAGGCTCTACATGCATTCATTTTCCCTGAAGTCCCATGACGAGAAACAAAATATATCATGTTGGCTAGGAAATAATTTTCTTCCTAGACATTTAATGAAATGCTAATCTTTTAAATCATGGATGAAATTCTTGAACTGATTGCACAAACCCCTTTTTTCAGCCATAGTGGAGAGAGCTATTATTATTCTGAAGAGTGACCGACTTGTCTTTGTCTCCCCCTGCTCTGCCACCTGACAGAACTGTAGCACATGGAACAGAACTCCAGTCTTTTGCTTTTGTTTCATTTTTTCCATATGCCTTAATAAAACTGGCAATTTCATTAAGTCAGCAAAGTGATCTTTCAGAAACATTACATACTGACTTAATTTAAAGATTTACTTGCTTGCCTGAAAAGGCTGGTGTTGAGAGCAGCTGTTTGTTATTGTTCTGCAGTTTTTCAAGGAACCATGGGAAACACTACTAAACAGTAGAAGGCAGTAAATAATCTCCTGCTGATAGCAGGAATTACAACTCATTTGGAGTGACAGAAGAACCCATTCCTTTCCTCTTTTTCCAGATGGGAACCTGGCATTCTGACTTGTGATCCTCCAGAGATCCAGCTCCCAGTCACCCCATAGGAACTGGGGGTTCCTGTGACCCCCAGCTGGTTCAAGGCAGGGCCAGCTGTGCCTGCCCTCGCTCGGGAAGCTCAGTGAGGGTTTGGTATGGGGCAGTGCTGAGGGCTTGGGCTCACAGGCTCTCCTCCCCTGCCCATCCTTTGGCTCTCTGCTGTCTCACAGGCACATCTCGGTGACTGCACAGCTTGTCCTAGGGCACAGGAGCAGGAAGCCAAGGCTACAGAACACCGTGAATCTTGCAGAAAAAAGGAGCCTGTAAGTGGCTTCATTAAGGTTTCCTGTTAAGGCTGAAGAGAAGGTGCTGGACGTGAGGCAATTCTTATGTGTGGCTGAACCCCTGCAGATCAACACTCCACAAAACAGTTTTGTGCATGGCTACCTCCCCTCCTTTAGCAATTTTTTTTCCTCTTTCATTGCATGAAATAGGCACAAATGGTCTCAAAAGTACAAAAGCCACAAGTTTCAGTCTTTGCTGGATACTTTGGACTCATTTTCTGTACCTTTTTATGAAGACAAAGCTTTTGAACATCTATTACATACACAAGAATGTCAAAATATAATTTTCCTTTCATTTGCTGAATCATTTGAGTTTATGAACACCCACCCCTCCCAGCTCCTGAACACGCTGTGCCATGTACTTCTGGGTGACACTGGTGACGTGGCATCCACAAACTCATTAGCAGCATTTCAAGGGATGAGGAAACTATAAGGAGGTCTTAAAGCACTGAGGTGTAAATAACACATTATCATCACATCAGCAAATTCTGGTGAGCCAGCTGATACAGTGCAACATACTTCCTGAATGGGACAGCATTGAATGCTGAGGGTCAGGCTCAAAGGGGATTTTTCCTGATTTTTCCATCACATGGGGACAACCCAGTATCTCTAACTGGAAACACTTTATTGCACTGGCAGTATAGAACTGACACAAGAGATTGACTTCTCAGGTGTGGCAGTGGGAAAACTGGGAGAAAAGAATAACAAACTGATTTACCAGCCCAGAAGTGGGTTTTGGGTTTTTTATTTTTTTAAAAAAAAATCGTTAACTTTTAGGCATTAATTATTCAAAACTGATTATACCCACATTTCTGGCCCTTGCCTATGACTGCTTTGCTTCCTGCAAGGGTCAGAGTTCTCTAGTGAACTGTACAAACATGGCAAAGAGGGGAGAAAAATAGTTTAACATCAATCAGATTACATTCCCATAAATTATCCCAAATTATTTGATTTTTTTAAAGAAATCTCAGGATTGAGGAGGAGGCAAAAGCTATGTATGACAAGGAGAATATTCTGAAATAGTTCATTGCTCTTCTAGACTTCTAACTTGTTGAATTTAATCAGAAAAGGCATGGATTATCTCTATGTGCTTCAAGCAAAGTTTGAAGAACCAAAAAATAGAAACAAAGGTGGCAGATCAAATAAATGATCAGCAGACCACACAAGAACAGATGGTATTTTCTGATTCAAGTATTTTTCTATTTTTATTTTGCTTTTTGTGGAAATGAAATCCTACTTAGCAGTCAGAATAGAAAAATGACAACACTGAGGAAGTTTTTAGCCAAAAGCTACAGAACAAGAGCTGACATTTCCAGTCCCATGGCAAAGCCAGGAGGGGAAGGTGAGGGTGCAGAGTCAGAGCTGAGCCCCACTGCTGTGCCAGGTGCAAATCCTGCCAAAGCCAGGGGCCCAGGAAAACACTCCATTCTTTCTCACCAACGGGAGGAAGACATTTCTCAAATCTTTTTTTCATCCCCAAGAGAGAATGCATTAATCTGTCTCTTCCAAGAATATTGTCTTAAAATAGAGGGATATTTAATAGACTTCATGCTCTTTGAAAGGTTTTGTGACAACACAATTTAATGAAAACAAAACTATTATCATTTTTGTTTCTTTCTATCTTTCCTCTAGCCATGCTTTCTTTGATATACCAGGCAATCAAACAAAGGCTGGTCATAAGAAGCAGTTAAAAAAACAGACAAGGCTGAGATGTTGCCTTTTGGTTTGGTTTTAGTAAAAATTTCCTTTCTTTTCTGTCCTTTGAGAAAAACCCTTTGTGAAGTTGTCCCCTGGGCTATACTGTATTTGTATATTTCTTCTTAATGTCAATATTTAGTTTCATTTTCAAACAACTGGGCACAGACAAAAGCATTCTTCAACTGTCTTGTGCATATCCTTCACAATAATTTTGCAAATGGTCTTTTTATTTTAATATATTACCGATATCCTACAAAATTTTTTTAGTTTTTTATATTGGTGAGGCATTCTTTTTAACCAAACACTAATTGATTTCTATCACAAAATAAAGGTAATTTTCAGCTAATGCAGCTACTTTTGAGTAGACAACCCAGAGATTTTGAAAACAGAGTGATATTTTGATATTTTGGGTCTTAGGTTTCTTAGTAAAATTTGCACTTGCACTCAAGGAAATCATCCAGTTTTAGTTCATTATCTTGCTCAGAGTTTTTATCACAAAATACAAATTTGTAGAAGGATTATGGAGAATGGACATTGACCTCTTTTGAGTTGAATACCTACCTTTTTATCACTCAGCCCAGTCACTTGGTCAACAAATTCCTCTTGAATCATAAAGGCAGCTAAGTTGGCAGTGTAACTGGCCAGGAAAATGACAGCAAAGAAAGCCCAGACCGACACCATGATTTTACTCGTCGTCCCCTTGGGGTTTTGCACGGGCACAGAGTTGTTGAAGACCAAGCCCCACAGTAACCACACTGCCTTTCCAATGGTAAAGGATGGTCCATGGGGATCTGCAATTGCAAAAAGCAGTTAGCTCAGCTGCAGTTAAATTAAACCTTGCCAATATACCGTGCAGGGATAACCCATCGGTCCCAGAGATGTGGTTAGAAAATACCTCGGTATATAGTCACTGTACTCCCAGTATAATCACAGGATTTACCATAGGTACCCTCCATTGCAATGACAACGATTTCCACATTTTCAAAACAGTTCAGCATTTTCCTACGTGGCATATGGCTTAAAGTTTTTAAGATGAAAAGGGAAAGCATAGGTTTGGAGGAGAAGCAGGCTGGTATGTCTTCTGAAGAAGAAATCTGCCACAGTGTTGCCCTGTCAGTCTTCTGTGCCAGCAGACATGTGAAATGGAAAACTGGAGGTTTAAATCTTAATGATTCAATTCTAGTACTTTTCTTACCCAAATTATTTTTATCATCTCCAGTCATCCAACATTATGCTTTTTGAACATTATGTAAGCATTTTTAAGATCAAAGTGTGTGAATGTGTCACCTACTTTTAATCACCTTTGTACTCAGAGCATGAATCAGAAAGACAGAACAAAGGAGCTACCTGTATAGACATGGAATTTAGAGCAAGCCAGGTTCTGGGTGCTTCACATGTTCAGTCAGTTCTGTGGCTCCAAATGTGTTGACATTGCAGGTAAACCTCTGTCCCAGCTAAGCCATTCTGTAATTTTTGTTATTTCTGGTTTTGGTCATCTTTTAATTCATCCCAAAGCTGGAAGCAGCCAGCACGCTGCCCCAGGCTCACAGGGGGCAGAAGTGGATTAACAATGTCATTATCCACTCCAAAGGCCCCATTTGTAGAGCCCTGTGAGAATCAAGGGCAGTTATTCTCACCCATCTCAGTAAGTACAATGCAATCACACATTGCTCATCACCCAGACTCCCTGTACCCTCAGTGAGAGAAAAAGGCCTCCCCTGACTGTGACTCACTTGGCCTACTTATAATTATCCTTTTTTCAGTCCAATTGCAATTTAGTCAATAAGCTCTGATACAGAAGTCTGTAACTTTATCTCCTTCCCTGCCCTGTCCCTTTATCCAAGGGGATGCACATTACAAATATAGATTTAGATATTCACTTAACTATATTTTAATAATAATTCAATGATTCTTAAGACAATTAAACCCTAAGTGGGTATACTCAGTGCATATTTTCCTTTCAGTAGAAATACTCTCTAGTGCAGTGCAAATATTTCACAATGCAGTCAAAGCTCTACATCTTAGATTATGCTCTATTCTGCAGCAGCACTAGGAAAATAGAGTGCAGTAAAATAAACACAACGGAGCTGACTTTTGGTTTATGAAGCTACCTTCTAGACACATTAAGGACTGAGCTGGTACAGGGATAATGTGTGTTTTTCTAAGCAACAGTGTTACAGAAATTATATGCCAAGGGATGAATCTAAAGTTCTGTTTATGCCACTGGAAATTATATTATCACTGAGCTTCATCCTGCAAAAAATGCCTAGGGAAATGAGAGGAGATAATTTTTTTTATTATTATTATTATTTTATTTTTTTTAAATGCAGGGTTGAAATTAATAGCAGCTGGATTTGTAGCAAGTCTTTGGAGCTAAGCTGGGATGGTCTAATGCTATAACATATCTTTGTAGCTGTAAGTACACTAAATAATCAATTCAGGCACATGAGGTGGCACAGAAAAGAACAGCCAAGTCCCTGGATCCCCAGTGTCTATATTCACCTTTGATTTCCCCTCTTTTAACACAGTGTTTATTTCAGACAGAGGTTACACATTTATTATCTTATTAAAATGATAACATCATCTGAACATTACACAAATCCACTTTTTCAGGGAACAAACCATTGTCTAGAAGAAAACATTTCCTTTTAATAGCACCCAGAACTGTGCTCACCAAGCTGGAAGATCTCTTGTTATGAAACAAGGCAAGAATGGTTTAGAAATTTAAAAAAAAGGCTGCGCTCTCAAATGTCAGTTAAGAAATGGGAGGATGAGGGCATCGTGAGACATGGAATGCTCACTCTTGAGTCAAAGTGCAGCCTTCACTGAGAAAGAGTTAATACAGAGCTTGTGTGTTTGGAAAATGAAGGTTCTGTAACCAAGGGTGCCACACAGAAAGGAGTGATGCCCTTCTGCCAGGGGCCTCATTTCCAGGCTAAGAGTTCATCTGACTTTTTACAGGGACGATACAAAACTATGGACAATGTAACTGCTATTTTTCAAATTGTCCAGTAGACCACAGGATTTTAGGTAACTTTCTCTGAACTGGTCATGAACTCATAATAGTCAGGAGCAGAACATATTTCACTGCTTTCTGAAGCTGACACTTCACAGCTGATGCTGTGTACTAACCAAACACTGTCTGAATAAAACTCTGATACCACCTACCCTGCTCTCTGTCTTTATTCCATTGAATTGGAATCATAAACATGAGCATATGAGCCTTCAAGAAATCATACTTTAAATTAAGAACATAAACAGTTTCATAGATAATTTCACTGTTTTATTCCTATGTTATGTTTATTTGAAAAGATGGAGAGCCAGGGATGGGAAATATATGATTTTTTTATAGACATGGAATTGAGTAAAATGCAAATCTTACCTCTGCCTTGTGCTAAGTTCCTGTTGTATCCTACAGGACTAAAGTACTCAAATATAAAGACAGCCATGGCAGACACGATGAGAAGCATCACAAACATCATCACCCAGACAGAAGCACTAAAAGGCTCTGCAGCAAAACAGACAGGAGAAACAGCAACACAGTTCATTAAACCAGTCACAGCACAAGAATTCTAATATCCTTGCCTAGGCAAGCCCACCAGCTTTCTCTACACCAGCTTTTTCCAACAAAAATGCTAGCAAACAACTAAGCAATATATAATGAACTGCTGTTAGTATATATAGACAAAATCCATAAAGTCAAAAGCTTAAATGTAAGTTGCAATTAAGAACAAAAGGCTGCACACTTTTCTTTGACACTGAGTGGCACATAATTGGTGTGAGTCGCTGCTTATTCAGTCCACAATAGATACAAGTGCTGTGTCTATTCATCCTGCATTATATAAATTTATCAGCAGAATGGTCCGACCACTGTGACTGTGTTTCTGCAAAGAAAAAGCAATTAAGCATATGTTTAATACATTTGGTAATTCAGGGAAGTAGACTTCTCTCTCATTTTCTATCCAACAAAAAGTGTTAGAGGAGGAAAGATAAATACTTGGTTTCAGGATTGTTTTCTCTCTGTGCTTACTTTTATTTACCCACAATGAAGATGATGTTTTTATCAATTGCAAACACATCCTTTTGAATGTCACATTTTCATCTGGGAGCGAATTACTGAAATCAAAAGGGTTTATGGAAAATTGGATGTCAGTTTGAAAGACAGAAGAACCATAACTAAGTAAAAGAAGTAGGCTGAAGCATAGAGCTAAAAGCAGTTTCAAATACCAGACTAAGCACTAACTTTCTAAAAGGACTCAATATCAATATCAAATATCATCTTTCCCAACCACAGATTCTCTGTCATTTCAGGAATCCTTGTGGCAGCTGCCTTTGTACAAGGATATCTCTAAGAAAGATTAGCATGGCAAAGCAATATCTCTTTCTCAGGCCAGTTTATCTGGGGCACTTTAGATCATAACTTGTGCAAATAAAGCAAGTGTGAGCTTGCTCTGAAGTGTGAGGAAAAAAAAATCTTAGTATCCTATTTAGGATTTAGGACAGAATCAAGACACACTTGAAATTACAGAATATTAGTGTATTCAAATGCTTTGCCTGATTTTGAAAGCCCAAGAAGTTCCTCTCTTGTAGCTTTTTCATTCTTTGAATTTAAGATTAGAATCACTGAAACTTTTTTCCTTGCTGAAGGAAAGGACAATGATTGAGAGCTGAGGTCTGCTAAGCCAAACAGCCCAATCTGAGCTTTGCCCAAATTCAGATGATCATTCAGGATAAAATGGAACGTAAAAATTTGTGTCCAAGCATAGAAAACTCATGAGATCTTTGCTCTGTTTTCTTCAGAAATCTGGAATTTAGACAAGACCAAATAACAAATAGCCCCAGTGGTGATTTTGGATGTTAACTAAAAAGGCAAAGCAGGGACATTTTAAACAAAACTGTTTTCCTCTTGCAAAGGAGTAGTATTTTTTCAATTAATTATTTTATTTTTAAGATGGCATGTTCTTTCAAGTACTAAAATTATTTGTTTGGGAGAGAATGGTAAGTTAGGAAAATAACAGAATTTGTAGAAGCCAGAGAAAGATCTATGTAGATGCAGTCAGGGAAGGGACATTATGTAGCCAAATACAGTCTAAAAAATATTTTCTGAATTCAGTTAGTAACTGGATTAAATTGGAATTCATGTAGAACTACTATAAAATTTTGACAGCATTCTCACAGAAGAAAGCAAGGCTGATAAAATCCTTATCAAAAGCAACAGTGTAGAAACAGCAATGGTAATTTGTCAAATCTAAAGAAGGCAAAGGGCAAAACAAGCCAATGTACAAAAGTGAGCTATAAACAAGATTTTAAGCAGAATTCTCTTTAATAATTTAAGGAGTCTGGTAATGAGGTGGAGAATTAATAGAAGCAATAGGAAAACAAAAAGCTACTTGGAATAGCAAGCAGTAAGACTGAACAAGTACAAAATTAACTGAATAACAAAGTCGATCTTCCTGTCTTATCAGAGATCCAATTACAAATTCAGCACAGTGCTTTGATTCTCAAAGGACAGATAGGGAACTTCCCTCAGGCAAGCAGCAGGTTTTAAAGGAATTTTCAGTAAAGCTACAATATGGCAGAAAGAAAACTAATATATGACTTGTTAGTGTATCTTTCAAATGACTGACAACGGAGAATATCAAGCAAAGAAAAAGATGTCTTTGAGTCCTACCTCCCACCACCAAAAACAATACATAAGGAATACATTAAATAAAGAGGGGCATAAATTTTCTATTCCATCAGTGTCTCCAGAAAAGAAAACTGACCTCACCTATGAACTCTCCCTCTGAAAAATATAGAAATGGAGATTGAAGGTTTCGCTTTTTTTATTTGGTTGTTTAAATTAGTTGAACCAAAACTCCAAAGAATCATTAAAAAAAGTATTTGTAGATCTAGTACATGTGATTTCTAGTACAATGTGAAAATGTTTTAATGTGGATACAATTCTCATTTGAAGGAGACACATCAGAATCAGAACACGGTAAATAATGAGGAAGAGCCCGTCACAGCCTCTCAGTGTTACTGAGAGTTACTCAGATCTATTGGACACAACAACTGACTGGAAAAATATAGTCACACAAAATCCTGGACTTGTCCACATTCATAGAAACAATTCACAAACCCAGATCTTTCAGGAATTGTAATCAAGTGCTATTCTTTAAAAATAATATTGTATTTGAAAGATTTTTAAAAAATCTCTTAACAGACTTACGTAAGATGACTCTATTCTCAGACACTCACTTAATTGAAAGAAAATCAGTCTGTGAATAAATTCAGTTATCAGCCTGATAGTATTTTGCAAGGCAAAACATTTTACTACTACGCACACCTCATCAAAATACACAGTCAATTCCAGCAAACTGGCAGCTCCATCTACGCCTGAAAAAAACAGAGCACACTTCTGGGAGCATAGACTTGATTTATTGGTGCAGTAAATCAGATTTCTTCAAAAGTAGAGCTATTTTAGAGAGCTTTATGAGAAGGGGTTATTTTTGTTTCTTTTGAATTATATACACATCCAACTAAACCAATAACATTAAATGCATTTTAGAAATCTAATAACTCTGTTGCTCGTGAAAAATGCAAAAGCAGCTTCTCTTTTGATGATGGCTGTAAACAGGTTTTTCAGACAGAAGCAAAAAAATCAACTGCACTTGCACTTTAAAAACACCCCAATTCTTATCTCCAGTGGTCATTTCAACATGCTGCAACTGCAGATTAAAACATGAACTTTACTACTCAGTGATTCAAAGAAATGAAAAGATACTCTCTGAGTATTTTCATTACAAGTACAGTTTCTTGCAATTTCACTTTAAAGTCTTTCATTCATACCAAACATTAACAAAATCTACTCAGGTATCACCACATTTGGAAAATAATTTGTTTATTCACTGTGTCATATTTACTTGCATCATCTCTGTAATGCTTTTTTATGGAATAGATATGAGAAGCTCTGTGGTTAAATGATGATTATTGTGTAAGAAAATTCAATTATTTGCCTGCTTCTATCTGACACTACACCACTCTGCCCTTCAATGTCTGTGAGCAACTTCAGGGGGAGTGAAGAATTTCCACTTAGCAATTTAGAACTGGCCTCACTGCTGGCCCAATGGACTTGAACATTCTAAACTGTGCCCCAAGATATCTGGAATATACTGATTTTTTATTTTTCTACTTAATGGTTTTAGTGTCACTATTCCAGTACAAGATATCTTTAAAAATAGTGGCCCCAAATACATTATGAAGAAAATAACAGCATTCTGGGCACTTCTGAACCACCTCATGGCTCATTCTCTTTTCAGCTTCAGGTAAATTCAGGCCAAACACTAAAAGGAACTGTAAATACTAAAAGAGGAGAGGGAAATAACAGAAGGAAAAATGAACAACTGAAACAAGAAGCATGCAAACAAAGAAGCACACAGTCTTTGTTTCTTTATATCCCACCTCCTCTCTGCCCAGCCTTTCATTTCTTTGCTGTATCTCCACTGTTCAATGGGGAGAACACTCAGCTCTTCAGTGAAGTGGTGGGGTGTTCAGAAGCCAGAAGTAGCGATTAAAACTAGCTTTAAATTGTATCTAAAGATAAGGAAGTTGTTCTTCCACTCTACAATGAGTTTGTCAATTTTTTTGTGACTATTAAAAAGACATTAAACACATTATGATGGGCTAAACAAGCATAAGTTAGTTTGTAAGGAAGCAGGGTTGAGGATGTAATTTTTCTAACTGAAGATTTTAGGGGATTCTTTTTCATATTGAAATCCCTGACATTGGTTTTCACTTTCAGCATCCAAAACCAACAGCACTGTGTCCATGTGTTAATGAACATGTTAATCAGCACATCAACACAGCAGAGACCTCTTCATGTAAAATTCAGAAACTTAACAGAACTGTGTTAATGTACTACATACCTTAACACACAATTAAATCTACCAAACTCTACAGAAATGCCATCAGGTTATCTGGATGGATTGGAGCTCATACCTAGGAAAGCAGATGGTGAAACTGTGCCATTGCTCCGTGACACCATGACACTGATCCCAGTCTCCACGAATGGCACCGAAAAATCAACGACTTCGGAGCGCTCCTCGTTGATGGTGAGGGAGCCCACAGCCATCACTGCCCGGTGATACACCACCTGATCACAGGGACAACACACCACACACGTCAGCACAGGACACCTTCTTCCTCCAGAGCAGCTCGACCGCACATCGCCGAGCCCTTGCCTAGGAACTCTTTTACCTAAAAGAGAACTTACTTCACCAATCATTCCATTCCACACGTTATTGACTTTTTTGCCATGCTTCCCATTCGTCACCAAGTACAGGTCATATGTGAACTTGACAGTTTTTGACAACTTCTTCAAGATATCGATGCAGAATCCTTTGCAGCACTTCTTTACGTTAGTTCCCTCATTAGTTTTGTTGCTGTCAAGAGAGAAGACACACATAAACACTCCTGCTGGGAAAAACAGAGGCAGCACAACAGTACAGTACAGCACACTGTGAAACAACATTTTGCCACTCCTGTGAGTGACCATGTTTTTCCAAATCAAGGGAAAAATAACCCACAGGATGCTTTTATAGCTATATGGTGATTGCAGCTCCTGCTAATCATAAGAGAGCTGCTTGCTGAGACCCAGAGATAACGTTACCTCACACGACATCCTTCTGCTCCAGGACCCAGCCTCACGCACTGCACTGCCCCATCAAGACATACAGCCTGCTCTTACTAATCTCTCTCTTAGGATTAGATTAAACTTTTATTACTTTTACTCTCAAGACATCAGACTACGTGTCATTTAGCAATTAAAGAACATGTAAGCTATAAAAAGGCACAGCAGTTCACCGTGCTGGATATGGATGCATCTTCTCAAAGTGCGACTTTCACTCTCCTTGTCCTTTCACTTTGGAGAAGGTGAACTTCAGGCTGTCTTTAAGTGCAAGGATGGAAGTTTTCTCTTCATCTTTTTTTTTCTGTAATGTTAATTTTGTGACCTCTAGAACCTTTCAATTGACACATCCTCAGAGGGCAAGGCAGTATCTTACAGTCTTTGGAAGAATTCAAAATTAAAATAAAACTAGTTTAGAACTTAACCAAGTGCAGTTATGCAAAAATAAATAAATAAATAGATTCTCCAGACTTCAGGAAGCATGTGCACAAACATTTAGCATCCTCTGGAAATCTTCAGAAACATGCATCATATACCCTCACACCTTCTCAGGAAAAATCCTGTTATATTCAGTTCATAAATACACAGACCAAGGCGTTCAGCAGGTAAAACACAGCTGACAAATGTACAGAGGAAACTCTTCCACTGATTTCTAATGACTGCACCAAAGTTATGGAGCACTGAAAGAAGGGGACTTTCTTCTTGATGCTAAGTCACAGTGGTACTTTATGCTGGAATAGTTTATTCTATACCAAATTTCAGCATAAACTTACATTTTCATTAGGAGATATTTTCAAATTGTTACAGACTAATGAAAGTAGGCATATCTTAACATAACTGGAAACAATTCAAAGAGGACTCATTAAGATAGTCTCATTTTGGAACACAATCTTCTTCCATGTGACTGAAAAGGGCTGATTCTTATTGACTTTGAATTTACTATAAACTTACTCTCTTGTTAATAACTGAATGTGACTTACACGTGTATAACCAGAAACACACAACTTTTTAAAAAGGAGGATGTGCAAAGAGCACACCACGTGGGAAAGGGAAAAAGACATAGGAAGCAAAATATTGAAGGAATAGCAAAGATATGGAGAAGGCAGGAAGGCAGGCAGGCAGGCAAGAAGGCAGGAAGGCAGGCATGAAGGAAGGAAATAATTTGTGAGAAAACAAAGGACTATATTTTGCAGTCAGGAAAAGAAAAGTGTATTTACTCACTTAAGTTTGACAAATTTCCGGCACGGCACCGTGTTCTTCTGGCAGCTTTCCATGAGAGGATCCACATCCTCAACAATGACAAAGGGAGCCTCCTCCAGGGTGACAATGCTCAGGTGGTTGTCGTCGGGGTCGCTGTCGGCGAAGGAGCTGTACCTCGGCCACACCGAGTACTTGAGGCTCAGGGAGTTGTTCTCCCACTTCCCCACCTGAAAGGCCAAGATCCACAGATCTGAGAGCTGCTTGCTGGTGTTTGACCCAGGGGAGCCAACATTACATGGGCTGGCACACAGGCACACGGCCAGGACAGCTGGTTTGGGGGTTTTGTTGTTAAAATTACTTTAGAATTCATTCGTAATTGCATGAAATGAGAAAATGCACAGTGGTAAAGATAAATAAGGTAACGTTATTTTAATAGGCAACTCTTTTATACAGACTGGATGTCATCAGTTCACACTATCTGTCACCCAGCATTACATGCACTGAAACTTGATATTCAGCATTTCTATTTGAGCCAGAACAGCAACCAGATACTCTATTGGTAATCAGGACCCATTTGAAGTAATAAAAAAGTATTAAAAAAAAAAAAATAAATCAACCAACCAAACCCCACAAACCCCAAACAAAAACCCTAACGCACACTCACACCTACACATCCGACCGATAACCAAAATATCACAATTTCATTTCTGTATCTTCCCAAAGAGAAGAATCTTCTGTTTTTATACAATGAAAAGCCATTGTAAAAGCCTTCACCCAGGCTTCCACTGGAGCCAGACCAAACCACATTTTTAGTATGAATTTCTATTAGAAATAGTTCTTATTAGAAATAACTATTTCATCCTGCCAACTTTTGGGTGCATTTAAGAAGGCAAACCCCACCACATATGAAAACTGCCAGCTTATTTACTATTATAAAATATCCCTTCTAAATTAATCCACATTTTTTTCCATTTCCAGATCACCAGAAGGAAATTTATGATTTAAATATTTTTGAGTCTAGTATTTCCCTCCTCAGATTAACTACTTTTTATCCAGAAATCTAATTGCATGTTTTATCTGATGACAGATAATATAAATGAGCTAGCAATCCACATAATTTATAACCTAATGCATTTTAATAATTCTTGAGTTGCTTAAGCTAAACAAATGACAACATAATCATAAGACTGTTAAAATATTTCTTTTGCAAGGAAAATAGTGGGAATTAACCGTAAAATATGAGACTCGGGTATTTAAATTTGTTTTTTTTAAATTGTTACCTATGTTCTGTATTCTAAAAACTTGAAAGTTAATCACAAAAATTCCCAAAGAACATGATTTATACCCATTCCTATTTAGGGAAGCCTATAAGCACATGACCTTTGCAGTTTCCTTTCCATCCTGTTTATAAGTCAAGATGTCTTACTGAACTTTAATGTAGGAGGCAGAAATGTCAAATCTCTACTCACTTAAATTAGGAAATTCAAAACATCTCAAGGGAAGTAGGAATTCTCACTTAAATCAATGGGAATTGTACCTATGATTACTGTGTATATACATTTCTAGTATGAAATTTAACCAAAACATAGTGGACTTTAGGAGAAAGGCTAGTTCAAACATGGGGAAACAATCTATTGATTCTATAAATAAACCAGTTTAATTGTCAAGGTGTGGTGCGTGGTGGCAGTGGCAGCAGTGTGTGCTGGCTGACGTGAGCTTGCACGGTGTCGTCACAGCCCTGAGTACGACATGGAAGTGGCCATCTGGAATGGGGAGGATTCCAGCCAGCCCAGGAGCTCAGACAAACACCAAACGTGCCAAGGAATACGAGGGATTTCAGGAGTGGAAAATGTGCCCGAGCATTTGCCTATTCCAAGCATGGAGAATAAAATGTGATGGCATTTCTGGGGTCAGGGGCAGCCCTGCCTTCCCAAAACACTTGCTGCAGGATGCTGGGAGGAGGCAGATCCCGAGGCACATCCCTCTGCCACCTGGACACCTGGTCCTACCAATAACACAGCGATTGCTGTGGTATTTTTAACAGAACACCAAAGTTGATGATATCCTGATACCACCATTTCTGGTATTCTTTCTACTTCAATGGGAGCAACTCCATTTTACTGCTCGGAGGAGGATACAGCCAGACACATTTAAATACCTGGATCTGGGGAAATGCTAATTTCTTTTGATAGCTACATCTATGGAACTACTGTGTTGAGGTAATAAACACAGTAGTATGTATTTGTAAAACAAATATTTTTGAAAAAGAATATTCAAGTTGAGGGTAACACATTAAAAATGCAAACATGCTCCATTACAGAACTGTCAAAAAGTTCATGCATATACATTTACTGTACTATAAACAAATGCCACAAATTATCCAGAGACTTATGAAAAATTTCTTTCACTTCTAGTTACACTGATAATAAATATGGGTTTGATCCCAGAGAAATACAGAAGGTAACCTTCACTTGAAAAAAGGGCAATAGAAACATTTTTGGGACAGATTATTTCCCAAACCATAGAAATCCTCATTTACAGCCAAAGGAAAGGAAATTACTTTAAAAATACGGTTTCAACAGTGCATCAAACCATTGATTCACTACTGTAGGTGCAAAACTCATCTTCAAGTAGAGACATGCAATAGTACATATAACCATTGTATTTCTTTTGAACTTGCACATTCTTTCCTATTCTCCCCTACTTCACATGCAGTCTGGAATATTCCTCCTGGTTTAATCTCTACAGGATGCAGGAAGGGAAGGGGAAAACAGCTGAGAGCATGGAAGAGCTTGTTTGAAGTCAGACTAAGTTAGCAGTCACAAGGGTACTCATCTCATCTCCTCCACTGGTGCCTAAAGCACCCCACATCTGACTCTGGCACATGTGCCTTGACCACCCCGTCCAAGCCTCACTATCTTTGTCAGATTGCAGCCAAGGAGAGTGACAATGAAGAGTTTGGTGTGTTTCTGCATGGCAGCCAAAGGCAGAGACCTGCACAGTTACACATTTCTATACCTCAGAGCTGCATCCTAAAGTGTCTAAACAATGTAAGGATGATTGACACAATCCTGCTCACACACCTTCACACAGGCCATGGAAGCAGAGAAAAAGAGCAGGGCTGGATCCTGAGCAGAGCTTCCCCGTGTGCCAGTGTTGGCACAGAAAGCGAGTCTGTCACACCAGCATATCTCACCAAAAACAAACAAATACCTCGGTTCTGTCACCCTCCTCCCAGCAGATGGGAGCTGTACACAGCACACACTCATCACCCCTTTGTAAGAAAAAATGTTACATGACAACATGGATACTAAATGCACTCCCAGGACTACCCAGCCAAACCTTTCAAAAGAGAAAGATTTTCAGGGATGTTCCTTTTACATTTAACACACATACGTTGCAAAACATATTTTTTGCGCTGTCCCAGTTAAGAAAATAGTGCTGAGCAAATACAAAATCCAGTCCAGCTTGCTTTATTGAAAAACTATTTACTACCATTTTTTCATTACACTTTTCCACTTAAAAGGAAGAGCTACTATGGCAAGCTTTAAATCAATAACTAAAAAGCTGAAATAGAGTTTGTCAGGTTAACAATAACAGCTGCAGAACAAAGCACAAGAGCAAAACCCTTCCTCCAGACACAGCATCTGCTGTACACCTTCTGCTGTACACCTTTGTCACTTCCATGTTTCTGAAGGTCCATATTTCCCAATGGCACTCTAAATTTAAATGACAAAATATGATGCGAGCAGTTCCATATCTTATTAATAAGAAGTGTTTTACAGTCCTGATAGGTTTGAAGACATCCATTTAAAGACTTTGAAGTTTTCAAAATTTGCTGTAAAATCTCATATGGGGAATGCAAATGTCCTGCTCTTCCCTCATGGCTGCTGCTGACGCCATCAGGAAGGCACCAGTCCTGTGACCAGCAGGGCTCCAAGGAAAACACAGGACCCAGTGAGATTATAAACAAACAGGAGGAGAAAGAAAAGCTACCACCTCCTGAAGCCTCATTTTTCAATAGGAATTATCAATTAGGACTCACCAAATCCTCAGAGGCTGGTACGGTTTGGGTTCTGGGCAACGTCCCAGAAAACCCTGTGCAGTGCCAGAGTTCAGACTCATGCCAGAGAAGCCATTTTAAGAGGTGATTATGTCACTAGAAAGGAAGAGAGCTAAACAAATTGACAGCTCCCTCCTCCACCTCCCACTGGGGGCAGATTTTTTGTCACCTCTGAACTCAGTGAAGACCTTACAGCTCTCCAGAAATGCCCAGACAGTGAGGGAGAGCTGCCCTAAAGCCTTCCTGTTCTCTGTTATATAGGTGTAAAGAACAGGGGCAAAGAACACCACCTCTGCTTTCCATGGGAGCTATGATTCCTTTACAGCAGCAAAGAAATGGGATCCTCCTTGGGAATGCACAATTTAAGAAATGCTGCATAATAGTTGGTGCAATCAAACAAATCAGCAGAGTAAAGGTCAAAGGAAAGGCCTTTAGGCTAGGCAAAAGCTCACTGATACAGAAACAATATGCAATTTTCAGCTGACAGTAAGTGTCAGGATAGGCATATTTACAGGAAGACTAAATACAAAAAACAACAAGGATGGAACACAGGGAATGACAACCCAACAGATGTTAAAGAGCACGCTGCTGCTTCTGCTATGGGCAAAAAGAATATATCACATTACAACACACAGCTACTGACAAAAGATACCCCAGCAAACAGATGATTAGCTCAGGCAAATTCATCTGTTCTAGTTAAAATATCTGCATTTCCACACAAGTGTTAGGGAATGTCTATCATGAGACATGAGGATTCTTCAGCTGCCATGACCCTTGCTCAAATCAATCGAGATTTCACAAGAAATTACCATGGAGCACCTCACTGATTTTTTTATGCCCGCAGTACTCTGACAAAAAGCTCTGTCAGAAATCTGCCTGTGTTAGGTTTCTCAGCTCCTGCCCAGTGAAGTCAGCTCCACAGTCAGATACAGGAGCTGTCTTTTCTGGGCTATGTGATGGTGGATGTTGGTAGCCAGATGGAGCTCTCCGTGAAGACCCTGGTTCATTTATTCCAGGCAGGAATCACGCACCCTCTGCCCACTCCTTCCTACTTAGATACAAATGTGTACAACCCCACACAGAGATTGGAAACCTGGCATATGCTCCTTAATCAGAGAAAAATCAAGTTCTGCATTAAATCCTGCATTGGTGGAAAGTCAAAGATGTCAGGCTCTGTTTAGAATAAACCTGGATGTAAGTAATAGTACTTGTTTAATTAGCAGTTGTGCCATGTAGCACACAAATTCACCCAGAATAAAGACCACCATGATAATTTTATCTGTATCTACCTGGAGTATCAGCAAAAATTGCTCTTAACCTGGAACTCATCTTTACACATGGAACACACTCATGTTTAAATACAGTCTTCCCCACCTCACTTAAAATATGATACACACTGCTAATTCAACTGCCTACTTTTGCCACTGGTAATCATATTCTAGTATATGATGTTAATATTAGACTGATTTGATTTATTTCCATATTAAAATATCTATTAGAAAAAAAAAAAAAAAAAAGAAAATCCAGACTAGCAGACTGTGAAGTTGGCAGCTCAGGGAAATTGATGGGCCAGGTGAGACAGGCAGGTCCCACCTCTCTGAGGTAACATGAACAGGAGCTGCAGCTGGGGCTGCTGAGCCTCTGAGGGTTGCTGAGCACTAGCACAGTGATCCTGCAGCACTTCAGTGATACTAACACTGTTAACTCTGGTAAATTTACCAAGTTTCACTTTAACAAGCACATTAAGCTTGTCTTTTTAAAAATCTCTTGCCTGAGAACAGCATCCCCTTTGCCTGTCAAGATCAGCAGCAAGAATATGAATGTTGGTGTCAGAAGTTTGAGTAGCTGCTTTAGGATCTGTCAAAATATCTTGCTGGATGCCTGTGAAACCCGCCCAAGACGTGATTCTCAGTCTTCAAACTATTATCGTCCAAACAGCTTTCTTCAGCATCTGATATGGGACAAACCCCTCAGTCAACCCCATTTACATGTGAAGTTACCACCTCAAAGTTTCAATACTGAGTCACTTGTAAAGAAAAAATAACTTATTTTCCAAGGGGTGAGATATATGCTGCAAAGCTTGAATGGCCTCTCTATAACCTCAAGCTTTAAGTGAAGTATATCAGTTCTGAAACCAAGGAAAAATTGTATTTGAATAAAAGCAGATTAAAACCAAAGAAGAATTTGTTTTAATAATAAATCTTGACTTTTCAGGAGAACAACAGGTAAAAAAAATCTTCACATAAACCACAATTCCTCTTTCTACATAAATAATAAAGTAACTACTTGCAGTATGTACATTAGTTAAATTATGAGGATTAACAGGCTGTTGCATTGTCATTTTTTCACATGAGTAAATTATTTAATTAGATACTGAGACTTGATTTTTTTCCATATAGGATTGGGGATATTTAATAAGACTTCAATAAAATCATTCTGTGATTCTCCCTGCTACACTGTAAGAGAAAGGAGAAGCGCGTGCCTGCCTGGAAACTCAGAGCAGCAAATGTTAGATCTCAGATGAGTAACTTTGACAGTTTTGAAATTGAGCAAAACAGCTCAAGGAGAAGGAACAGGAGGAAAGAAATTGCCTAAGAGATATGGGGTAAAATGTGGAACTTGGAGGAGAGAACACTGAGACAACACTAGAGAGCTGTTCAAATAAACCATGTGGTAGGGAAGGGCCTTCTCAATCTCTAAGTCAATGGAGCTGAAGTGCACGGTGACACTCGGCTGGAAAGATGTGGGGTGTGCCCAGACAGCCCAGAGCTATGTCCAGCTTGCCAGGATAATTGATTAGTCAGTTTATTTGTCCTCATCCACAGAGGCAGGGATCAGCCTGTGGTCAGGAGAACAAGTCTGGTGGTGACAGAGCGTTCTTGGCCGCCTTTCACTTCTCCCCTCTGACATAATTCCTAATTAATCATGGCCCCCTTCCCACAGCCCAGTGCTGGAGCAGCAGCCACCAGAGCTGCCCTGCCCTCACGCCTCACCAGCCACCAGCAGGACTCCAAAGCAGGGCCACTCACCAGCACACACATCCATTTTTGTTCCTCCTCCTAGAAGCCCCTCAAATCTGACAATGAGCAGGAGGGGATTTGCCAGCTGGAAAAGTGTGCACAGACAAACTGAGGATCAGCCTCCAGAGAGCCCTCACCCAGCGCTGCAGGAGGAGTGGGACAACCACGGGCAGGGACAGCACAACCTGCTCCAAACCCATTTTCAGACAGGGGAGTCATTGGAAGGTTACAACAGGCTCAAGTTATTTCTTGGAAATAATGTTGGTTCATATATCCAGTATTTCTTTGCTGCTGTTAGCTCATTTTTCAAAAACATCAGACCCATCTCTCCTTGTCCTTTGAATGGTCTCTTTAGAGAAGTTTCAAGGTACAAAATGTATGAAATTATTTTAACACAAGCATTGTTGGCTGCCTCTTTGAGCATTTTCTTCCTTTGGCACCTCGTACTAATAACATTCCCCAAGCAGTATAATATTTTTTCCAGAACTTTATATATGATATGCAGACTGTTGAAGAATTTTAAAATAGGGTAAGAAATTTTCATAGCAGTTAGTGAGCAAATGATTCCTCCAAAGATTCAGATTGACACATTTGGAGAGGATTAAATTTATCCAGAGAATTAAATTTGCATCAAATGAACATAACGAAATACACAGCATAATCTAGGACTACTCTCTATGTTTCTGCATGACTAGCATATTTATTGAGATGTCCTTCAGTAATTCTGATTTTGTCATTATTATTCATCATCATGAAGAGTCTTGTAGTCTTATAAACTGGAGTTTTAAGTTGATTTAATGGGTTTTTAAAACTATAACAAAAAGAATTCATAAATTTCAGCAGCAATTTAGAAGATGCAGAATCACGTTTCATGAATTTAAAATAAAGCTGGTGGATGATATAGATGTATGTTTTTCTAGAGTCTTATATTAAAAACAGTTTCTTAAAACAAGTTTTTTTAAAACATAGGGTCACTGCCTGCAAAACTCAGAGCCAAAAAAATCACAGCTGAGAATGGAGTTTTAAAGAATGCTTTTGATGACCTTTTTCATTTATTACTTGCATATACAATTAACATTGATGTTAAGGCATTTTTCCTTCTAATCTATATAGAAATGTACGGACATCACCTGTCCACCTGGACCAGTCAAGATTCTGAGTTTTTTAGGTGAACATTGACAGGATTATTCCCCAATTCAACAGGAACTTCACAGTTGGGTTTTTTTTTAGTGTGCTTTTACTATAAAATCTGCCAAAAAGCACAAAATCAAGCAAATAAAAGGATTTGGATTGTCAAGATATAAAAATCCATCCAAATTCAAGTCACTGGGGACCAAGCTTTTTGGACATTTTTCAGTTATCCATTTTACTTTACTAAATTTTAAGAAGAACTGGAAATGCAAGACACGTTTCATAGAAATCTGAAATCCATGTGGCTTTTCTTCACTGATCTGTTAAAACTCATCAGATATACTCAGGACTGTGTGAAGTTGTCTCTCCTGAAGTGCTGTGACAAGGCTGCTGGAGCAGAAGCACTGAGCTGTGCCATTAATCCTCCCGCGGGTCCCCCAGCAGCGCTCACCTTTTCCCACTCCCGCTCGTTGTTCAGCACTATCACCACCAGCCTGGGGTGTGCCTGGTAACCATCTGCTGTGAAGGACAAATCTCTGCCTTCCCACGTCACATTCATCATGAACCTGGAAGGCAAGGAAGAAAAGTTCATTGAAAAATTAATGGGCTGTCCAGCAGTTAATGAGCAGCAGCAAGTGCAGTCACCAGAACCGCTGATTTAGCCCATGCACCAAACCCTGCCGGTGCTGTGGAAAGCCTGCACTGGCAGCGGGGGAGTTGGGGCATTGCAAGGCAGTTCAGAGCTCAAGACAAAGCAAAATATTGTTGATGTGTGAGTTATAATGCAGACATCCTTTTTAACAGCTTCCACCTTCCATATGATTAATCACTCCCCTCCTTGAATAACCTTCCTGGTACTTTGCACAACCTCACCAGCTTTCCAAGAGCATTTTAAACAAACCCACATCACCTCTGTGTGTGCCATTGCACTGTGGTGTCACTGGGTAATACTCAGAGCAAAGTGCATCCGATCTGTCTTCCCCTGCTCAGACCTCCAGGAGTCCTGTCAGCTCTTCCCAAAACTGTTGCTACACAGCGTTGTTGTGATACAAGGATAAATTCCACTAATGCCAAAACCAGACATGAAAGCTTTGAAGGTGTTGGTAAATATTCAGTTCGGTAATTTCAAAAGAAAAAGGATTAATGTTTTTTTATTCTTTTGTATTTAGTTACTTCTTAATGGTTTTCAAAAGACATATGAATTAATTAGTATTTTGAATAGGAAAAAAATAGAGGAACACAACATAAAATATTAAAGAATGGAAATTTTTAAAATTTTGTTGAAAAAAAACAAAACTCCACACTGTTAGTGTAAAGCTGACAGGGCTATCCCACAGTAAGAAGTAAAACTCCAATTCAAAATCTCAGGAAGAAGACAGTACACCCCCCCAGCCCAGCTCTGTGGTCTGAAGTTATTCACATTGAATTGCTCTGAATTCTCAGTGTATTTAATTGAAAGAAATTCAGTCCAAGACTGATGCTGACAGAAGTGTAGATGTCCATCCCATAGAGGGATGTGTTCTGAAGGGCAGAAATTTACTATTCTTCATACATTACCTGTCATGTTTTATCCACAAGAAACTGATACTGTTTTACATGTTTCTATGGGTTTGGAGGGTTCTTTTGGGTTAGTTGGGTGGTTGTTATGGCTGGCTTTTTTAGCAGTAGTAGCAGCATGATCTCCTGGGGAATGTGACATAGACAAAATTCCTCTGCTCCAGATTCAAAGGAGAAGGCTTTGTATTGACATAGCTACTGAAAATCCCAGTAGCGAAAGCACACTAAATAAACATATATAGACCCAGAAGAAATAATGGCATTGTATCATAACAGTTAATAATTAAATGTGCAGTACCCTGAACAGCCATACTAACATCATTCAGTACCAGTTTGACAGTAATTTATAAATTCACCCATTGTAATAACTCACATTTCATGACAGACTTCCAGTGTGAAAATTTTCCCCTTGACAGAACTTTGCTGTTCAGTTGAACTGTTTTCCCGTATATTCCATTTTTCATCCAGCAGTGAAAGATCTTGCTTGGGAACAAAAAGCTTGTTCACCACCTTGAGAGGCAGCAAACCACCAAATAGGATTTACTTGTGCACACACGTAAGAAACCAGCATAACATTCACTCAGTGCTGAAAACCACTGTGTGACCCAGGGAGTGAAATGCCTGGGAAGTGAGCACAAGAGGAAGTCAAGGATGTGCTGTGAAAACAAGCAATATTTGCATTTGCTCTTCTGCACCCTCCCCTAATTCACACCCATGAGGTAACACCCCTCAAAATGAACACATCACCTGGCAGGGCCGGGCACAAACCACCTCACTTCACTGAAGCTGAAAGCCAAGCATTGTGTCCCCTCCTAAGGGCTGGACCCCAGCACACACCCTGTATTCCATCAGGCCTTTGTGTTCACTTGGGTTTTTAACCACAGAAAATGGTGACTGGACTGGAGTTGAACTCTTCCTTAATGGAGTTTGGTAGGATCACCCTGATTTCAAACACTGCTCATCGTATTTTGGGATTAATATGCAAATGACTGGAAGCTAGTCAAGGACCATCACAAGATGCAGTGCTGAAGCTCAAGTGTTCCAAAAAGACTAATATGAACCACAACTCGATTGAACTCTATGTGTATTTTTAAACCATGTATATTTATCAGCCATTAAGTAAAGAAATACTTTTTGCAAGGTTTGGGTTTTTGTTTGTGTTTTTTTTGTTTTTAAATTCCCTAATCTGAAAAGTCTCTTAAAATTGTATTCTCTGATCCAGACACAAAGGTATGAGTGACGCACTCTGGGCTACCCCAGATTCTCACACTGCAGCAATAAAAAAGAACTTCAAAGAGATTCTTGTTTCCCCAAGCACATTCTTCTGTACAAAATTCATCAGCTGCCCATGTTCTCCAGAAATCAATGCTTACAATTTACACTCGCTTTTGAATTGTCATTTTTCCTCTGTGAAGGACAGAAGTCCTGCTCTGCTTTTACTGGCCACAATCCCAAACAGCTTGTCCTACAAAAAATAACCAAGTGCTTGTCTGTTCCTGGTTAGGAATAACACTGTGAAGAATTTATATTATGTTATTCTTATAGAATTTTAAGATTATCCAAGGTTAATTCTGTGCAAGAGGTCTTTGGCTTCTGAATTGGATAAAATATATTTCTGAAGTAGCTTTGGAAATGCCAGTTCCTGTTCTTAACTAAATGATGTGTTTAGTTATTTGAACTCGTTACTTTGAGGGGTCAATTAGCAACACACCATGGACTTGTAGGTAATCTGTTTCCATTCCTCATTAATGCTACAGCCTTTGCAAAGACACGATAGTGCATGGCCTTGTGATGGTATTATGACATGGAAGTCTTAATTAACTTTTGCAAACCAGTATTTGTAAGATTCCCCAGGTGATACATAGATCAAAATGGCACTTTTTTTTCTGACAGAATTTAAGCTAGTCTCACATCAAATCCAAAACAGGTTTTTTATCATGAAAAGAACCAAACCTTAACTATGTAAAAACACTTTTAAACATTTATACAATTATTTTTTGCTTGTCACCTTCCCTAGCAAAACTGAGAAGTGTTGGAACACCACAGCAGAACACTTTTGCTGTTGTTTTCACAGCAAGCCTTTGAAGCACCCAGGTTACAAACTTCTCTCAAGGTTTCCAACTTTATTTTTATAAGACTCAGAAAGATCAAGTAGTTCACACAGAGCTTCAGATTAATGCCAAAACTGCAATATTTATTCCTGTCAAAATTCTAACTTTATCCAAAGAGCCAGAACATACTGCAAAAGCTGGGTTTTCTTACCCTGTAACTATAGTATTACAACTTCATTGACTCTAATTCCATTAACAAATGAGTGAAGACTTTGCCAGAGGGATCAGAGCTCAGTTTTCAAAGCGCCATTTGCTTGGATACAAAATTTCTGACACAGTGGCACCTTTCTGGCCAGACTCCTCACAGGAGCCATGGACTTCCTTCTCCATGAGGTGTTTGCGAAGAATTTCCTATACTGGATGAAAACAGTTGAAATCCTGGAGCAGAATCTTTGAGGTTTTCTACTTCTATGTTATAAAAAGCAAACATGTTTGCAGGCCATGGCATTTCTTTTGAAGTTTACCATATTTATATCTATGCAAGATACACAAGTGTTCTCCTAACAGAGCCAAGGATTTGACAGCAAAACCAAGAAGGCTTTTGTGGATTCTGTGTTGGGCATTATTTTATAGAAAAAACACAACCTTATGTAAATTATTAAGGTCACTTTGTTCCAGACAAAGATCAACCCTAGCCCTGGTCTCAAAAGTTTCTCAGGGTGATGTAAGGAAGCCAACAAGGACAGAATAGAAGCACAGCAGAGCAATCCCATGACACAGAAGCAGATGCGATGGCACTTGTGGAGCCTCAGCACCCTCCATGTGCTCTCTCTGGGATGTAAGGGAGGAGCATCCTCACAATATTCATCTCCTCAGCATGGACAGTCTCCTGCCCACCCACCTGTGTCCCACAAGACTGTCCAGGACTGCTCAGGCTCAGGAACGCAATCAGCTCTGTAGTAACAGGCTTGTTTTACAATTAGTGTGAAATTCACCTAGAATGCAGATCCCAAACACATCAGCAGCTGGGACAGATAGAATGGGTAAGGCAGAGGCATTAATGAAAATGTGTCATTTCTAAGCTACCTTCTAAGGAGAGACCTTAGATCTGTAAAACAAAGCACAGGGCAGAACAGCTGCAGGGAGCAGAAGGACCAGGGGACTCCTCTCTGCCATGAGTTCAGATCTACATTTCCTGCCCTCAGATGAGATAATCAAACTTGATAAACTCCCCAGGTGCCATCATCAGGGACTATCATTTTTATTTGCTGTCTTCTTCACTGTGGGGCAGTGTTTCAAATCTCTGACAACTGCAGGCAATGAAGAGAAGTAGCAGAGATTTGGGAAATACGTGCTGCATAAGAGAAACTCTCCCTCTTCTCTCTCAAAGAAGGAATTTCCAAACTGAGATTTAAAGCAGATGAAAGGCCTCAAAACATGTTATCTAGTGATATTTCTCTTTCTTGCAAATAGTGTAAACCCAACCATTTTAATAACCTAGAGAGCCAGCCTATCTGGGCTTGGCATACCAAAAAAAGTAGGAGTGAATCCAAATTTTGTCTTTTCTTTATCTTGTTGAGGCTCTGAACTGCTGAACTTCCTTACTATGATTCAACCATGACATTTGAATGATACTTATCAGTAGAAACCCCAAGACACATCATTTATCATTAAGAAACAGATTTCCTCTGTAAAATTTAATAAAAAAATGCTTAATGTAGAATAAATAATGTGTGAAGTACATACAGAAATATGTCTGCAGTAGAACCCTATTAAAGAAGGTACTGATGCATTATTTTAAAGTCAATTCTATATCCTATGCTATGTAGGATTTTTTTTTTTTTCTAAATTCAAATCCTTTGCTGTGATGCAGTCACTTCTTGCTCTTTGTGCATCCTCCTCCTCCTCCCAGCCCTCGCTCCTCCACAAGGGTACCTTGCTTTGGAGCTGTGTCTCCCTAGGCCTGGAGCCAGCACGGATGAGTAAAACTTTGGGAGTGATCAGCTCAGTGACTGTGCAGAAGGAACAGCATGCCAGCCTCTGTGACCTCCTGCCAGCTGCTCCTTAAAGCATTCACTGCCACTGGCGCTGGAAAAGGCACCTTGTTCTGCAGACAAACAAAACTCTTGGGGAGCCCTTCTGAAAGAGGGGGCAAAGGGAGGGAAGAAAGAAAGAGCTCAACTCCCTGGGATGTGCCACAGATGAGTGTAACATCAGAACACCAGAATGTTTAGCAAGTTAATGCTATTATTAGCATCAGCATTTCAAAAGAAGCACTAATTTGATCAGACATTGCTGCACCACCTCAGAACCATCCCAAACTCTTCCCCATGATGTGTGCCTGGCTTCCTGCAAGGGGGATGGTAGCAGCTCCATCTACAAGAACTGATAATTTGATTGTTGAGCCCTGCTTTCAGCCCTGAAGGCAGGCTCCACCCAACTGCCAGAGGCCACACTTGTTCTCTTGCTTTAAATTATTTTAATTATCACTATAACAAGGTAATGTTCAAATCCAGTAACTGTTTGGTATTTTCTGCTTCCTAAGCTGACCTAACATGGGAGAAAATTCTAATACAGATTTTCAGTAATTTTTTTAATCACTTTGTCAGTAAACCAGCACCATGTTGGGGCCTCTGGGGCAGAGTGTTCCTCTACACAACCCCTCCTTTGTTGCCTGTGAAGTTCAGTTCTACTTTGGACTCATAAATAATTAGTTAAATATTTATACACCTTCAATCATCTAATAAAGATGATACCTATTGTTCACAAGTCCTCTGACTTGAACAAATCCTCTATAAACTGGCTGTTGATCTGTATGCGGGAAAAGATTAAACAGATTTGCAGGATTATTATCAAACCATTGTGTCCCTTTAATCCCAGATTTCACTCAAATGAGGCAAATTTATCTGTCATGCTAAAAGATGGACTCAAAATATGAATTGGTGAATAACTATCAGGACAAGGGGGGCAGCAAACCCCCTCCCTCTGAAGGAGGTGCTGTGCTGAAGGATAACAGCAGCACTGCAGCAAGGACAGCTAAGCTTTTGTCCCTGGCCCTATGCAGGACCCATTGCTCCTGCTCCTGGTTCAGCGATGATAAATAAAGGAAATTGTGCTTGGGAAGGGTAGGATTCTTTCTGGATCTACACCTCCACTGCTGAAGGATGGGTCTCCAAATCCTGCCTATGGCTTGGCTGTATTTCAGAACAGAATCTCACTAAATGTCAGCACCACACGGCAAACACCTGACTAGCTATGGACAGACACATCTTTTTCCTTTTCAATGGCAACGCTTTACCATCCTCACCCATCCCTGTAAGGATCGGTGTGCTTGGAAATGTTGCAGTGAAATGTCTCTCCCAGGGTCATGACTTCCATACACACCATGAGTTCTCTTGTAAACAATGCAGCACCATTTCAATGCACAAAGCAGCAGCATCTCCCATGACTGGCAGGGTTATTGTGTTTTGCTGTTTGTTTGCTTTCCTGTTTTCCTTTTTTTCAGAGAGAACAAGAGTTTGTTCAACTGACTTGGCATTAATGAGGTGCTAATTCTATTTATCCTGCTGTGCCAGTATTTCACACAATAGTGGTTTTCTGCCTTGGGTCTTACACAGATGGAAAAAGATGATCTGAATCAATACAGATACAAATATACATATATATCTGTGTTTTTAATGCATTGAAAATGAACCCTGTATTTTATTATAAATCCTTTATTCATAGAGAAAAACTGGCTTTCTCATATGTACCAGAAATGAACATTGATCAGATCATTCCAAAAACTAAAGCAAACCTGATTTTATTCTGGATCTAGGAAGCCAATAAAAGCATCTTAGAATTGCAGTGATGGGGAAAGATAAATTGTGTGCTTCAAAACAAATATATTTCCAAACCATTTTAATACTCAAAGGATTTGAGAAAGAGGGAGGAGGAGCTTTTACTTCATGGCTTTTTTTACACAGAATTTCTTCACAAACAGAGATAAAATTGCTACCTAGATATGGGAAGTCACACATAAAGCATTACTAACTTCCATTTACAAGCAAATTAGCTTTTATAGCATAGCCTCAGCGTACCATCCTGGGTTTAAAGCTGAATTAGACTGTCATTATAATAGATGGAGCCCAAAAATCCTGGGGTTTTTGTGTATTTTGAGCTTTGTTTTGTTCAGGCATCCCCTTACACAGCCTCTTCCCTGACTCCCACTGAATTCTCTGCTTCTGAGCTTGCAGCAGTGTCCTCTTGTCCAACCCTACTTCTCCAGTACTGATTCCCAGATGGAGAGGGGAACAGAGCACAGCAAATCCCAGGTCCATAAGGTATTTACAGTTACTCCAGCCCTTTCCATTGGGAACATGCCACAAAATCCTTTCTTCAGGTTAGTTTCTTAATACAGCACACAACACATTTATCTTGTAGTTGACAATATGAAACTGCACTATCTGGGACCAGAAACTGTGAAGATTCCACTTCACAACAAAACCCCAATTTAGACACTGATTTGATGTAAAGTAGGAAAGAACAATTTAGTGATGAGGATGAGAAAGTACAATGAATTTATATAATTCACCTTGGCATGGAAAGGCTGGTCAGCTCCCCAGTATTATTTAATACTGGTAAAGTTTGTATACACTTGCCTTGCTAGCAGATTATATGTGACAAGAATAATTTGGGGGAATTATTACATAAGAAAGACTATTTAAAATTTATTCATTTTAGTATAATTCTGATATTTCCAAATTAAAAACAGCCTGCTTCTGATTCTTGTGGTGTTGGAGAAGCTCAAAGAATCTCCAATACAGAAAAGGTATTTTTACTTCATAACTCAGTGTTTCACATCAGGAAGTGACTTTTTTAAGCACAGTGCACTACAGCTTCTCCTATTAATAATTACTAGGTGCATCATGCACTGCATGCTGCAGAATCTCCTGGTGAAGTCTAATCTCACTGCCCTAGCACTCACAAGTCCTGTTCTTGTACTCATGCAGGTTTAATGAGAAAATAAAGATTGTTTAAAGAAATACAGCTTATGCTGAGTGTTGAATACTTAATTCAAGTCTACACTAGTGTATTAGCCAAACAATAGGGTAGGAGCCTTTTTCAAAACAGGTCCAAGTGCCCCTTCCAAGAGCATTTTGAACCCCACACTTATAAGAGAACACAAGTTTCACAGAAACTGGAGTTCAATTATTAATAGTGGGGCTGCTTTGTTTGTAGGTCAGGTCCTACTGTTAAAGCACAGAATTTGTTTTACAGGATGCTTCCACTGCTCCCTGGCACTGTCAGCACATGCAGAGAGGAGCAGCAGGGGTGGGACAGTCCCCCCAGCAGTGCCTCCCACTGCTCTGCCCTGACCTCAGGGCAACACCACAGCTTTCCCAGATCCCTGAGACTCACAGAGCCACTCCCAGGGGCAAATGGGGCAGGAGGAAAAGAACTGTGGGTTTTCTGCAATGCCACTAGAGAATTTGTGGTTTTAGAGGCAGAGGCTCAAAAATAGGAAAGGGAGCACAAAAAGCCTGCAAGTGTCATACTAAAGACAAGTTCTCTGTAAGGAAATGTTAAAATTCATTTACTTGGATGCATCTGGCTTTTAAGAAAGCTTCTGAAGAATGCTGTGTGCAAAGATGTTGTTTTCATGGAAAACAACTGTTCCAGGACATCGTGTGGTAATCAACTCCTAATCTAAATATGCACATACATCTCAAGATTAAAACTGTTCTAAAATCTCCTTTCTGAAATCAGCACCAACTTTTCCTTCCTGTGCCAATTCTATCCTGCTTTTCTGTAGAAAGTGCTTCATCTGCAGTATTTGGTCAGAACAAACGTCATAAATACTACTTAGTAGCTTCCATATTGTCAAGAGCTATTAAAAAATATGCAAGATACCCTACTTCCTCTCACAGACCAGATAAAGAAATATATTACCCTGCAACATTTTGGATAGAAGTAATCAGGAGTATCATGTCTGAAAGGGATAATTAAAAGGAAATAATAATAACAAAAGAATCCTGATTTAAACCTTGGCAGTTCCCATCTGACAAACTGTTTAGAGAAAACATCTATATCAGCTCGGATTAATGCCGATTAAGTTTTACAGTTATTCTATTAGAGGTGACAAAAATATACCCTTACAAGTAAAGGGGACAGATTTCAGCTCTTATGTGATAAAAGCTGCCTTACTAATCTAATACTTCTATAATTTCCAGGGACAGCACTTTAATGCTTCATATTGCTTGTCTTCTAAAATATTACCGGGTTCCTGCTGATGCAAGTGATACAGGCATGGACTCCAGAGCATTTTGGCAATTTTACCTCATAGTTAAAGTACACAACAGCCTAATTTTTTTAACTCAGCTTCATACCCTCTAAGACCAATTTCTGTCATCTTCTCCACTAGATTGAGAGCAGTGTTTATTCTCCACAGCACCCATCATCTCCAGGAGCACAGCTATCAGTGCAGCACGTCCTCTTGCACATTCTCCTGGAACATCTGAAAACCACTGCTTAAAATGGGCTCAACAGGATTAGCAAAAAACAATATTCTCCTACAAGAAACATACAGTGGCAATAGAAGAGAAAACTGTCAATGCTACACAGGTTAAAATAACCCAAAGCAATCATTCTTACTTGTGCAAGGTTTGAGAAGGCCGGTCATTTTTCTCCAGTTGTCCATAGCAGCTCGTCCTGGCCTCGGGAATGAAGGAATACTTTTCCAGCATGGCTGATGCAGCAGTGGCAATAACCCCAAGGCCATCCCGAACCCGAGCTTCTAAACTGTAGTCCCACTCATCATAAGCTGCTGAAATGAGTCCTGAAGGGAACTCCTTGGGAGTGATTTCTGTGTTACCGCTAACCAGGCTGGGAACTATCCAAAAGAAATCGTAGCCAGTGAGGCCCAGGGACCGAGCCTCGTCCAGGATGTAGACAGCTTCATCCTTGGAACAATACAGCAGGATGACGGATGAATGGATTTTCTTCAGCTGAATTTGGGTCTTGGCATCTCCAAAGGCAGTATCGAGTATGATGATGTTCTGCATGTCCCAGCCCACAAAACTGTTCTCCACAGTGGTCTTAATGACATTGATGAAATCTCGATATCCAGGGAAAGTGGTGGTCACCAGAGAGAACACGTGCCAGTCGTAATCCTGCATGATCTTCAGCATGATAATGGCTTCTTGCTGGATGGAAGCCCCAAACTGGAAGAACGTGGACATGACATCCTATAATACCAAACACAGCAAAAGATTAGTAACTTGGTACAGCTCCAAAGGGAACATTCATTCTTCTGCCTCCTGTTCTACTGGAGCTGCCAAACTTCCATTGCATTCCAGTAACTTTCTGTGGTTTATCATGTTCAGATCATAAGTAAGCAACACTGATCATGGGTACTTACAGCTAAATCAAAATATTTGCCAAAAAGTAACAAACTGATATTTACATAGGAAATTTCCAAATGCTGGATCACTTGAAGACAACAATCAGTAGCTACTGAGGAAGCTCCCTGGGGACAGCCACCCACAGTCAAACAATTCTCCAGCAGAAAGTTTAATATTCCTGTAAACATATGAAAGCAACCCAACAAACTCAGACCAATGTGTAGTTACAATGGAAATAAAGTGCAATGCACATGCTGTGTATGTGCTGAAGGAGCTCTGTACTCCAGACATAATATCTGAGGGGGACTTCATTTCCAAGGTTCAGTAGACTTGGTGGAAGCTTTCAGACTCTGCAGAAGTAGATTTTCTGTCCCCAGTTCATTGCTGTTGCTGCTCCATTCAGAGCACACGGGCCATTGATGCCTGATAGAGAATTAACAGGATGGGACTCAGGACAACAAGCAATTTGTCAGTGTCCTCATTAAAGGACTTAAATAACTTCAAACAATGGCTTCAGAGTCTGGAATTGCTCTGTAATGTCACCCAACATAGATTTGTTTCTGATATTTGTCTTATGATTTACAGAATTCATAATATTTTATACAGCATGAGGGCAGAAGCTGCTTATTTTAACATCATCAGAAATGGGCAGCACAATTAATTTTGTTGGCACTAAATTTCTAAATGCTTTCAGTGGTCTATATTTTCTAAGTTCCTTTTACTAAGTAAGATCTAAATTTATCTTTTAAGCTTACATTCTGCATTTACATACAATAATTCGAGTGTCAAAACTATACATGGGAAGCTGGATAATTCTTTATTTTCATTTTACTTCAGTATTTATTCTTGACCAGTAGAGGCAACTTATTTGCATAACTTATTTGCATCATTTTCAGACACAGAAAGCATAAATTCCTGGTGAAACAAAAGATTATGATTTAAAAATAAGATATGAATCATTCAAGATTTCTTACGCAGGCTTCTGGAGGAAGACACATACAGTGCTTTTAATTTAAAGAGTTTTATGATCATGGTCACAAAATGCTTATCCTATTTTACACTTGCAGAGAGCAGAAACAGATTAATTGATTTGGGTTTCATGGCAGGGTAGTGTTAAACACACAAATATTAGTGAGAATGATAGCTCAGCTCCACAAGCTCTGCAAATCTATTCCAGGAAAACAGTCTGTACCTTTTTTAATAGAAGATGAGGAGTGTTATTACTTTCCAAGTATTAAGAAGCTGACACCAGGATTTTATATAGCTTAACAGCAATAAAAGTCTTACAACTTGTGTCAGACCCTGAAGACTGATATTGAAGGCATAAAACACACACTGCTGGTGTAATGAAATCATCTGCCATAGCCTCTTTGGTACCTCAGTGATGACATTCTGAATGCCAGTGCCAGATTCGAAATGTTTTGGGTTATTTACAAATGTTATAAAATATATTTTGGAGAAGAATTGAATAAGGAACATTTGATTACTGAAGTCTTTTAGGAGCTATTTCCTGGTGACCTGCACTAGATAATACTTAAAAACCAGCAAACAAAATTTTCATATGAGGATTCTCACAGCTAAAGGAACCCAGCACACAGAAAAGCTGCTCAGCGTCAGCATTTAATTATTTAATTACTGATTTACTCCTACAAAGTAAAGTAAATATCTAGAGACAGTGCCATGAATCCAACTTTGCTGCAGCTCCTAACTGAGCATAAAATTATTGTAACGCAAAGCCAATCACTTCAGGTTTTTTCTCCAACTCTTATCTTGGTTTCCATTTATGATTTTGCTAAATTACAGTAAAAAGTAAAATAATTTACAGTAGATGAAATAGATTATATCCATCATATCCCATATCCTTTCACTGTTCTCCATTTCTGTATCTGTTTTTTAGCAACAGAATAATTCTTTCAAACACTACGTACACCTTGGTCCTTTGTGCATCACAAAGAACTTCTCCAATGAGGCAACTGAAGTATTTGAGGGCAAAAAAAATCACATGGACATTTTCAAGTGTAACTTTTCTGACTATAGAAAGTAAAAGACTAAAAATACAGATTTTTAACCTAGAGCAGTCCTTGGCATCTTCCCTGGCAATTAAGAACAGTCTTGAGCATAGTGCTCTGTGTCACCATTGTAGCAGGCTGACAACAAAAGAGAATCCTTTTCTTTCATAAATATTATGTTAGAAAAACAGTTTATGAAAGAAGTTTTGGACATTTTCGTAAAGGTCACACCCATATTACAGGAACCCATTTCCTAGAATTGTGAATACAAAGTCTATTCAAAATCAGGCAATCATGATTAATTTGAGATTAAAATGCTGAAAAAACCTGTAATTATACAGTGAGAAGAAGTTTGGGTTCAGGAAAAATGGAGACACAAACATCACAAGTGAGATTCTCATCTGAAGAAATTCCATGTAACTGCACTGACTTCACTGGATGCTCTTATAGAGCTGAAGATCTCACTGTGTATTTACAATGCATTTGAAACAGATGGAAGATTACAAGGAAATTGCAGCCTTAGGAACTTCAGCAGATACCTAAATGACTATAAGGAGAATATTCAAGGACATATCCATTAAACTGGAGCGGGGGGAAGGGTGACATTTAATGAAGAAATAGCAAATAAATAAATGAAACTGTAACAGATTCAACTACTGTATTCTTAAACATCTACAGAGGTTTTCATTTTGGGGGGCTTTAAGCTTCACACTCTTTCCAAAAGCATTATTATTCCTCTGATTTATGCAGACTTAAATTCCATATGTGTAACAAAATACTAAGTTCCAATTTTTATATTCAAATGCAAACTAGAGTGATGTTTGTAAAAAACCAAAATTATTCAGTTATTTCCCTTTAACTGTCATCTTGTCATGTATTGAGACATCCATCTAAATCATTGCTGAAGTAAAAATACAGATGTAATATCAGAGGTGCTTTGAATGCATACCAGAAATATTTTTTTTTCATTCCTCAATGTCCCCAGCTATTGAGATTACTGGTGGAAGTTGCAAGGAAGGAGTACAATTTATCCAGAGCAAGAAAAATTTTACAGAGGAATTTCTCAGATGAATCTCAAAGCATGACAATCCCAAGATGTTACACCTAGTATGAATAAAAATGTAGTTGGAAGAAGCAGTTTTCTTTTCCAACTTCTTAGCTAGATTCCACCACATCCATGTGAGCAGAAAACAGCAATGAAAAGAGAAGTTAAAGAGCAAATGAAAACTTTTTGTTTCTTTCTGTCTTGCACATGACTGTACAGTTTACAGCAAAACATCTCCCCATATGTTTCACACCAGAAGGAAGTAATCCTTCCATTTGCTTCTTGCTTTACGTTATTCCTGAGTTTCATCTGTGACAAAGTTCTGTCATTGCAGGAGAAGGGCAATTCAACATTCCCACGCTCGTGCACAGAGCAGCCCAGCTCTCCCTGCTGCTGCCTTTTATAGATTAATATATTAGAGTAAGTTGTTTTTAATTAGTGTACTGAGTCTATAAATCTGTCACTGCTGTCAGAATTGCACATTTCACTTCCCAATTCCAGCAAATTACAGGAATATTTCTCTAGAAACCTCATCATCAGCTATTTTCATGACATTTTCGTTTCCCAGCTCCGGCTTTTCCACGAGCTCAGCAGGTGCCACTCCCAGCTCCTGGAACAGCTGAGGTAAGCCCTGGTGGCACCTTGTGCCTGCCTGCAGGAGTTGGTCAGCTGAGAAAAGAAATATTTGATATCTAAACTAGTGTAGCTTTTGTTAAATGAAAATTGAACTCTAAACCAGAACAAAACTGAGGTCAACACAGGACCAAATCAATTTTTCACTCTGCAGACATAGAGAGGGACAGGCACTTTGCTGGTAAGACAATATTATGACAGGAAGGAGAAACCAGTATGAAAGAGAGTTTAAAAAGCAATCCAGAGGATGATTTTATTCAAATAGCAACAAGGTTATCATGACAGGACTACAAGTAGGACTTTAAAGTTATCTTAATTACTTTGTTCTTATTCTCTTTCACAGAGATCAGTGAAAATAATTTTTCTCTGATTTTACACCATTGTAAATCAGACATTCAATTCTCATAAAGAATCATAGCATGTGGTGCCAGGTCTCCATACACAGTGCAAGCTGTTCCCTGTTTCACGAAATATGGTAGTTATTTGTAATTTTTATAAAGACTGGAAAAAATGAAAGCCAGAGTAAAATTATTTGAGCTGATATAAAATGTAGGTAAAAAAATGCATCCTGCAGGGTGTCACCTTGGTACCATTACTCAGAGTGGTGCATTGATTCCCTGGTAAACATGAAGTGAATTGCATTTCTCTGCCATGAATATCCAGCCCCCAGCCACAAAGGATTTTCCTTTGTAGAAGGGCACAGACCCATGCCAAACTTTCAATAAATGCAAGCACTGAAGTGGAAGAGCTGAAAGGAAAACCTTTCCTCCAAGACACCCTGCATATTTTTGAATTCTTAAGTTATTACATTCCGACTCTATTCATTAAGAGATAGAACACACAATTCCCAACACAAACAGCTCACTAAGGTGCCCAGGGAGAAAACTCCTCCATTATCATCATGGGAGCAATTTGAGGGAGATTATACAAAAATTTGTACTTTCATACAAAGCATAGCAACATGTGAGGGTGGAAATAATTTGCTCATTCTTACAAAAAGCAGAAAATACTTACTTCCCAAGGACCTGTCACCGCTCTGGCCTCACACATGGTGAAACCAGAGCCAGAAAAAGGGTGGAAGTTTTCTTACTCTGTAATTAAACTTATGCAAATGCACAGCCAAAAAATGTATAAAGGTCAACTAAAAGGACAAACTA